TTTAGTCTCCGCGTCTGCAGTCGCCGTCGTCGTCGGAGCCCCCCTGCGCGTGTCCGTGCTAACGCGCGCCGATCCAATCCTCGCTGAGCGCGTCGCACAACTCCTCGATCCCGTCGCGCGGGCACTTGGCGCAGCGTTCCACCGACGTGGCAGCGCCGGCAAAGTGGGCCATCAAAGACCAAGCAGAACTGGGCTGATAATAAAAAGGGAGTGGTCGATTTCGGGAAAATCAACGCACTCAATCACGCCCGCTTCGGATTGCTCTGAGCCGAGAAGTAAGGGCCAGCCCCCTTTCCCCACCCCCCTTGGAGCATGGCGCTTGGAAATGTTCGTCGCTACCGCAGGTATTGCACGTCATCCTTTAACCATCTCCACCCATTAGATTGAGCCTGCGCCCCTCGCCCTTACCTGTCGCATGACTACGGCCCCTACCTCGACCTCTACCATTTAGGGATAAGTCTTCAAGGTCGTAGTCGGTCAATCGAGCCAGAAACGTGGCTATACCTTTGCCATGCAATCTGCGGGCGCGTCTACCACCTCCGCCGCGACCATTTCCTTCGCTGAAGAAGACGCGACGTGCAACTCGCCTGAACCTTCTAACTGGCTTCCTCGTATGTCGTCTCAACCTTCTCTTGGCGAGATGATGGCCCAAGTGTAAGCAGCGTGCGCCTGCGTCATCGCCGGCGGGTAGGTCTGACCAGTCGAGGTTTTCGGCACCGGTAGAGGAGAACGCATCGGCGCCCGTGCCAGAATCGAAGACGTCGCCATCTGGTTGGCTGGGTGAGCCCCAGAAGATTATTGCGTCAGGTGGTGCATAGCTAGCTGGCCGCCGACATTCACCGGTTCTGTGCCGTGGTAAATTGGTATGTGCATAACACCTGATGTAAAAGCCAACCACATGAAAATGTAGCCAGCTCCGCTACCAGGTGAAAAGTAATGGTACAGGGTTTGACCTTGAGGTATTAAGCTGAGAACCCGACTCTTAGGACAACGTCGGCGACGTATCGGGGTATCCCACAACTCATTCCCGGATGGCCCGCAAAACGAGAGGAAAGAGAGAAGCCATGTAATGGAGAGGTGGATCAGAGATAGACGTGGCCTTTGTCTGATGCTATGATCCCAATTGAGGCGCACAGACCAGTGTGCACCTAGCGAATCGGGCAGCGCTGCCTTGAGCCAAGACAGCGTCGGATATAGCGTTCGCCATACAGCCTCTACTTAAGCCTCGTTTGAAGTGGTGCTGCCCCCCCCCAGTAGCCCTCGAAAGCGGCGGCGGTCTCGCAGATCGCAGCCCCCCAGAGGTGACGAGGTCGAGACCTGGATATGGCGACACTGCGCTGGCCCTCCCAGCAGACGGATGATAGCCTCAATTCTACACCCCCCTCGCGCACGTTCCGTAGGATGGGCGCTCCGCTGCCCCCCGAGACGCCTCCTGGAAGCCCAAAGTCGGCACCCTCCGTGCGCACGTCCTGCCCCGTGGATCTCCAGGGCGAGCCGCTGCTCCTCACGACGGCTCACGGGAGCCTCTTTTTGGCACAGCCCTCACGCATGTTGTGAATCTTGGATTCCCAATGGCTGTCGACTGACCCTTCCGACGGTTCACAGGACCTAGATTTCGGCACACCCCTCACGCAATTCGCGCCCCATAGACACCTGAATGACGTCGACTCGACCCTGGGACCGCCCAATCGCCTGAGGGGCGCCAAGATGATCCGACGAACATCCGCAACGATTGGCACCGACCCTCTTCGAAACCACACTCCCAAACAACAACTGACTCGGGGAGACCAACTTCGGCACCTCCCTCACCAATGGGCTCCCGACTTCGCGCTCCGCGCTGCGTGCAGCACGAAAAACTTCGCGCCCTCGCGCCGCCTCCCATGATGGGCCGATTTCCCACCACCACTACCGTAGGCAGGAGGAGGAGGAGGAGGAGGAGGAGGAGGAGGAGGAGGTGGAGACCTCCCAATCCTCCCTTCTCCCCCGTCCTACCCATGGTAGCGGTGGTGGAAAATTTGCCCATCATCCCAGGGGAGAAGAGGAGGGCGAGGAGGGATCGGAGCCGAGCCGCGAGGCGCGGAGCGAGAACAACTTCGAAACCCTCGAGGGCGCCCTTGCTCACGCACTTCCTGCCCCATGGGCCCCCGAACCGCCGCCAACTGACTCCCCAGTCGGCGGGACCTCCTGCGGGCCCTCGCCCAAGGGCTCCCAACTTCGCGCTTCGCGCTCCGCGAAGCGCGAAGTGCGAATAACTTCGCGCTCTCGCGCCGCCCCCCCAACGGGAGAACAGGAGGACGAGGAGGAGGGGGAGAAGGATCGAGGACCACGAAGCTTGAAGCGCGAATAACTTCGCGCCCTCGAGGGCGCCCTTGTCGCCGTGCCAGGCTTCGAGTGGAGGTGAGGAGTGGTTTGGGCCTCGAGGCTCCTCGGATACGTGAGATACGAGTGAGCTGCCCTCGCGTTCTGAGGGAAGCGTGCATTCTGCACACCCCTCACGCACTTCTGGCCCCCAAGGACGGCTCCTGGGAGCCTTACTTTGGCCATCCCCCACGCCCTTCGGGCCTCGTGGACCCCCCCAAAAGGCGTCTGGCTGGCCCCCAAGGCCGCCTCACCCCCCACGGGGCACAAGTGTGGCCCCGCAACACGGTGCACTGATTGGCGCCGATCTTCGCCGAGGCCGTATCCCGACCTCCCAATGATTGTGAGATCGGCGTGGTGCGAATTTCCCCCTGGGGGCCCGCCGTGACTCCAGCTCTGCTGGCTCAATAAAGATTCCAGCGCCGATCGGTCGAGTAATAAGCTCGAGCCTCACTCAACGCTCGCTGGCCTTCAAAATAGGTTGTAAATCCTGCGGTCGGACTGGTGGATCAGATCTTTGGCTACGTCACCATGCTGCACCACGTGCTTGCATGCACATCGACAGGAGGCGGATGAGAAAAAGAAACCGATCCGGCGAACACGTGTCAGAGTGGGAGATCCCGTCCAAACTTACACGGCTGCAGCCTGGCTCGAGCCCCCGAAACCGGGTCGCTCCGAACGGCGCTCATCCTTCCGTCCTGGACGCGACGGAGCCAGAGATCCCCTCCGCCGGCGAGGAATGCCAGTGGCCATTGTTGAGCAGGGACCGACCGTCCCGGCATTCCTATAGTCCTACCACGAAATGTTCTTAGAACCCCAAAAAGTTCTAAGAACAAAAACAACGTTCTTAGAACATAAACCCGATGGGGAAAACAAACAAGACAGTTCCAGCCAGAAATGTTCTAAGAACATTTCCTGGAAACCACGAAAGTTCTCAGAACATTGTTTGGTGGGGTTATAGGCACGCCGGGACGCTTCGCAACTGCTTGACATTGGACCCCCAGGGCTCGCAGGAGCCACTGTCGGGGAGACGTAAGACCCGGGTACGGGGGACTCGGAAATCCCCGACGAGGTCGTCAAAAAAATGACGAGGCCGAGCCTGCATTTTGACGAGGCCTCCCGCCGCAGACATCCCACGAAACTCCTCCTCGTCAAAATCCGAGGCGCGGTCGTGAAAAAACAATGGCGAACCCGAGTCCTGGCAAACCCGGGTCTTACGCTCCCCCGACACTGGCAGAGCAGACGGGGTGCTGGACCCCCCCCCCCTCGTCTGCTACCGACGCCCCTGGCGGCGTGCCAGCTGGGGTGGGCGCGAAGGCGAGCGGCCTCCGAAGAGGGCGCGCGCGGGGGGCTCGGCTCCGGGGCAACTTCTCGAGAGGGAGGGCCAAGGACACACAGACAGACCGGCACAAATCCCAGGATTCCTCCCGTCTTTCTGAAGGGGCCAGAAACACACAAATAAACACACACAAATAAGGATTCCCCATATTTTCCCATATTTTCTGGGATTTGTCTTCCCCCCACTTCCCATATTTTCCTATATTTTCCTGGGGATCGACGATTAATTGTGTCTGTGTGTTTCTTCCCCTCCTGACTTTCTATCTCTCTTCTGAAAGTTCTTCGTCTTCCCCCGGTTCGTCTTCCCCCCCCCCCACTTCCCATACGCGTCCACATCTTCGTGGGGAGATCGACGATTCGTTGTGTCTTTGTGTGTTTTCCCTCCTGACTCCTGGCAGCCTCCGAACGCTTCAAGCGATTTTTGTCGCGGGCTCGGCGAACGCTCAAGTCATCACAGGTTTGAACCCCCTGCCTTCTTAGAAAGCAGCCTCCATCGCCCTCCCCAACACCCCCGAAGCGCCAAACAACTCTCACACTGTAGAGGGCCAGCCACCCTCGGGTGGACGTAAAGGTAAGGCAGGGGCAGAGGCGGGGTCAGAGGAAAATCACTCCAAACGGCCTCCGGAAGGAGGAAATGTGACCATGAAGCTGGATGCGCTCCCTGCCCCTTCGGTGGCAACTCATGGGAGCATCCCATACCATCCTGCTGGCTCTTGCGGATCGACGCTGCCCGACGCTGATCGACGCGAGTCGACGCGAAATCGGCGCCTTCTCATCGATCATCGCACGCTGGCGCACGCGAACGCACTCTTACAAGATTGCTTCAAGGACATGCAGAGCTCCCATGACTTGCGACCGAATGACACCCCCCACCTTGGGGCCAATCTGGGGGGAAACGATCGGGAATCCGCACCTTCCTGGGCAGGCGTCGGCTCTCGGGCCCCGATCGGCGATCAATGGGCGATTGCGTGTCGATGCCTCCCCCCCTATGCCTACCCCCCCCCCCTATCGTTGTGGATGCCACGACAATGGACACCCTAACAACTCTATCCTTGAATTTAAACATGTGTTTTCAATGCAGCAGAAATGTTCCAAACATGTTTGAAACATGTGTTCTACATGTTGAAACCATGTTTATCACATGTTCTAGACATCTGGGAATTACTTGGCAACATGCTTCCTCTCCATTGATCGTCCTCCACAACCTGCTCCTGAAAACCTCCCTCTGCGTGCCCCTCGATCAAAGGGCCGGTCTTCCGCGCCCAGCTCCCTGCCCTCCCGGCGAGCGGAGCCCCCGCTGGCGCCTCGTCCTCCTCCTCCTCGTCCAGCGGCTCTTCCTGGCAGGGGCGGAGGCTGGCGCGCGCTCGCGCGTGCGTGACGCGGGCGCAGAATACGCGCTGCCATCACAAGAGGGTGACGAGAAGACCATACAGTCGGCCTTGATTGGACAGGACACGCGAGAGGACACAAGGTCCTTCCGAGGGCCACATCGCCATAGGAGTGCAAGAAGGCACGTGTCGCGAGGCACAGGACACAAGGGCACCCTTGAGCTGGCAGGGTCGACTTGCCATCGCTCAGACGTCCATTCCCTGTGCATTTTTGGGCTTCGTTCGTGTTTCTGTTTGCTTGATGATCCAGGATGCTCCTCCAGGATCCTCGCCGAGAAAACAATGCACACGTCCGAGCGATGCCAGGAAGAGGGTGACGAGAAGACCATACCAAAACCTTGAACACAAGCCAGCCCCCGAGAACGAACCGGCGCCGACGAACGGGCCCGCCGCTGCACCGGCCCGAAGCGACCCGAACCTGACCCTTCCCGAACAGGGGCGGCGGTACTGCGGGAGGACGACGAGGAAGGAGGAAAACGAAAGGGTCAGGAGGTGAGGTAGAAGGGGTGACGAGGAGCAGAAGGGGTATCGACGAAGCCTCCGGCGAATCATCACCGCCCCCTGCTGTTGAGAGGAGCCCGTGTGCCTTGTGGCCAAACGTTGTGGAAACGCATCGTACTTGCGGCCGATGCTTGCCAGCGTGGGCTCCAAACAGCGGGAAATCGCACTGTCGATGCGCGCCTTTTGGCGCGCAAGCGATGAGATACCATTACTTTCCAAGAGATGGAAGTCGCCCAATCCATTGTTTGCGCAAATCGCCAACCTTCCCACCCGCAACTTTTGGGCAAAACCATTCGGCCACGAGGGTGATTACTAGCGGAACTTGCTCGCGCACCTCTACAGCCGCGCTGGCGCGCGCACCCTCGCGCGCAGAGCGGCCCGCTGGCTTAGCCCAGCTGATGCTCGCCCTCGCTTGGGGCTGCCAGCTAGGCAAGTTGTAGCAAATGATCTTCTGGAAGGTCGATAGGGCGACGAGATCTATGCATATCCACTGCTCCTGGCCAGGCCAATCCTGGGCCCAGGAGCGGTGTATACGCCCTCCTGGCCTGGCCAGGGAGGCATATACACAGCTCCTGGGCCCAGGATGGGCCTGGCCAGGAGCAGTGGATATGCATAGATCTCGTCGCCCTAGTCGAACGGCGAACGGACTGCGGTCACACCCGGGCCCGAAAAGTGGCTCGCCCTCGGCGGGCGCTGCCGACTGCGCCGCCGCTCACGCCGTTGATAAAGGGGCCCTGGGACACACAAATAAATACACACAAATAAAAATATTCTCCATATTTTTCCATATTTTCATGATTTTTGTCTTCCCCACCACTTCCCATATTTTCGCATATTTTCCTGGGAATCGACGATTAATTGTGTCTGTGTGTTTCTTTCCCTCCTGATTTGAAACCTCCCAAGAACTCCAGCGGTGCGCGGTCTCACCCGGACCCAGACGGTAAGTGGCCTTCGCTGGGGACTTGCGCAGCCGCTGCCATTGTCGGAAACTTCCGGGACATCGAACGGGGGGCCGTTCTACCCAGGTCGAAGCGGGTGGTTCGCCCTCGCTGGGGGCTGCCAGCCGTGCAAATGTCGCTCCTATCGCGATCTCATCGGAAGTCCAGCGGAGTGCGGTCTTACCCGCCGGAAGAGAACAGCAGTTACCAGGGGCTGGCAGCTGTGCGACCGCCCCCCCTTTCGTCACTCTCGGGGTCCAGCGGAGTGCGCTTTCTAAAGATGTGGCTCGCCCTCGCTGGGGGTGCCAACTGCAGCCCTGCTGCACCTTCGTCAGCTCTTCAGAGGGGGTGTCCGCTGCGCAACCGTGGCAAGTCTGAGTATCGTTTAACCGATCCCCATCCCCAGCGGTGTGGCCTGGGCCCCGCTGGCCGATTTGCCCCCCTAGATGGGGATATAGGCCGTATTCTTCGGGTTTCGAGGGGTGTATCCCCAACTGGGGTGGTAATTTGGTGGGGGTCTCGAAGGGAGTGAGGATGGGGATGGGGGTCGGTTGAACGGTACTGAAAGTCCGCCAAGCTGGTGGAACTGGCCCTCCTTGGCGTTCCGTGCGGCATGCTGCCCGAGGGGTCCATCGTCGACGCCAGCGACACGGATGGGTTGCCACGGGGGGGTGTCGACGACCTTGGCGGCGACTGGCTCCACCTGCTCGTCACGCTTTCCAAAGCCACTGGCTTGTGGAGAGGGGCCCATCGTCGACGCCGACGCCACGGACGGGTTGCTCTGCGACAGGGCTGAACCTAAACGGTGTTTTTCGTTTTCGTTCTGTTTTCGTTTTCTCTCGCTTTTGTCTCGAATCCGCCTCTACCGCAAAACGACATCGAAACGAAAACGGCCCACGAAATCACCGAAAACACCGTTTAGGTCCAGCCCTGCTCTGCGAACGTCGACGGCATTGGCGGCGCCTGGCTTCACCTGCTCGTCACGCCGTCTGGGGCCACGGCGGCCCAAACCTGGAGATGCCCCTTCGAGGGGGCAACCGACTGACTTTGCAGCGCCCCGGCGATGCTATCAAGTGCCCGAGCTGAGCGGTACCATGCAAGATCCAAGATGACATGAATGCTCAGCCTGGGGCATTCCTGCATGAGCGATGCCAATGCCATGTTCGCTGTCGTCAGTCGCGGCTCTATCCCATTCGAACTCAATACCATTCTGCGCCTCCACCTTTTGCTGGTCCTCGTCCTTTCGAGCCCACATGATCAAATCCGATCGTTGTCCACATTTCTCAGCATCTTTCCGTCGGTCGTCGCCAGTCATATATATATAGGGATATGGTCGCAAAATTCCTTTCCCTCGGTGCCAGCTCCGTGTTTATCATTGACACAGGACTGCATGCGTTCTCAAACGTTCAATTATTTTGGATTGGCCCGGCAACAGTGTCATTTGTTGCACATGGGTTGGACTACGCTCCAGGGTATGTTTCATCTTGCGTTCTGGGAGTGCTGCATCGATTGTACCCGTCCTTCTGACTGGTCTTGACCGTGCTCCTCCGCTAGCAGATGGGGACGGGGCCGCAACAAAAGCCCTCCTCCCCCGGCTGCAGTAGCAGACGGCTGGATGTACCTCAGGCGCCGACGCCTGGCCTTTGTGGTTTTCCCTAGCTAGCCGATGCAAGTTACTGTCTGAACTTGACTTCAGGTGCCCGTGCAGAGTTTGCGAGCCTCGCCGTTTAGCATAGCCACACGAGCTGACTGTGCTGACCGCCTCTGCTAGCCGCAGCGCCGCCATTAGCTGACAGGCCATACGCTTCATCAGCAGCGCAATCCAAAATCCCTCCATGCCCCCCCTCCTCCTCCTGGTCCTCTGTGGGAGGGGGAGGGAGGGCGGAGCAGGATGATCGAAGGGGAGGGGGCTGCGGCCGGAGGGGCAGACCAGCAGGGGAGGAAACTCAAGGGGCCCAAGGACACGCAAATAAATATACACAAATAACAGGATTCCCAATGTTTTCTCTCATATTTTCTGGGTTTTTGCCTTCTCCCCCATTTCCCATAGTTTCCCATATTTTCTGGGGAATCGACGATTAATTGTGTCTATGTGTTTTTTCCCCTCCTGAGAAACATCGATCGATAGAACTGGGAGCAACAGATGCCCGGCAGCGGAGCTTCTGGCGGGCATCCTGCCCTGGAAGGGACAGGGCGTGCTCCGGCACACAAGTACGTCGACTTGCCCTTGCGAGAGGAGGAGGGAGGAGCGGGAGGAGGAGCCCTGGGCGAACGTACACACAGTGGGACCCAGGCCAGAAGGACATCCACCAGGAGCTTGGGACCCTCCGCCGCCAAAACACGCAGAGCATCCAAGGTTGTCCTGCCCAAGATGCACAAGAGCGCCCAACAAGCATGAAGGGCATCAGGCTACCCTCCCCGAGCCGACCTCGATCTTGTACCTCGGCTTATGTTGCTCCCATCGTACTTAAGGACCACATCCCAGAAATGATTTCGAGCACCCAGAAAAGTATCGAAAGAATGTCGAAACAGTGTCGAAAGAGTGTCTCCCAGGGCCCGACACGTGAAAACCCTCGAGTTTTGGGGCGTTTAAGGCTGAAGTAGGTGATTAAGGCTGGCGCTCGAAATTCATTATGGTGATTGAGGCTAAAGTAGGTTGGAACATCATAAATCTCGGCTCGACTGTGCCATCAGCTTCGCCGATGCGCCGCCTAGGCGCGGCCTCCGTCAGCCTCATCGCCAAACATGAGGAAGAAACAACCCATACACGCCGGTCGGAAGAAGTAGGTAGAAACATGAAGTAGGAAGGCGGGTAAAGTAGATCGGGTTCGGGCCCGCCCAAATAATAACAAACAGCAGCGAAACCATATCGATTCTTGAAGTAGGAAGGCGTCTGAAGTAGATTGGGTTCTGGGCATCCAAAAATGCCTACTTTCAACGACCGGCATGTGAACATAAACTGTTGGCGCTCCGCGCGGATTTCTTGGATCTGCGCTGGACGGCGGTGGGGGGGGGAACCGTACCTCCACCTCCAAGGCACACATGTGCCACCATCGGGCGTTTGCAAAACTGGGTTTAGTGGGACCTGGTTTAATGATGTGTACTGGGGGACGCCCCCCCGCCCCATTGCACTAACCAAAACTGCCGTCACCCGAAAAACACCAGCTACAGCAGACATGGTTTAGTGATTCTGGCCAATTGAGGGGCTCCGGGGCCCTACCAATAACCCGGTCCCCTTACCTGGGGTCCTGGCTATATCCGACACCACCTTCAATCAGAGGCGCCACTTGCCAACCACCACTCATATCCCCCTCCCTGGCGCGAGGAGCGCGCCAGGGGCGGCGCCAGAGGCGCCGCCAGGGGGGCCCCAGCGCGGATCCAAGGAATCCGCGCGGAGCGCCAAAAGCTTTTGTATATTTGAGCAGGGACCGACCGTCCCGGCATTCCTTTAGGCCTACCACGAACACGAAATGTTCTTGGAACCTGAAAACTGATCCAAGAACAAAAACAATGCTCTTAGAACACAAACCCGATGCGTCAGAACAAGACAGAATCCGCCAGACATGTTCTAAGAACATTTCGTGGGAACCACAAACAACTCTTATTTGGAGTCCCGTAACCGTGCGGTGACGGACCGTGCGGTGACTCCGAAATCCCCCCAAACCCCACCGCACGGTCCCTCACCGCACGGTCTTGGGACCCCGGAGGCCCCTGTCGCCCGAGACGTCCTCGGAGAGAACGACCCGAGTCCCAAAACCGTGCTGTGACCGCGAATCCCCACCGACCTTAGAACACTGTTTGGTGGGACGATAATGAAGGGGCCCTGGGACACACAAATTCGCCGGCCCAACGGGCCAGGGCGTGCTAAGATCTCCGGTAACTGGTTAACAGTATTAACAGTATTTCTAGTTCGCGCGCGCGGGGCGGCCCCTGGGGGTCCCTCGGCGAAAAGTACCCCGACCAACGCCCGACCGCCCGCCGCCCGACCGCCGCCCGACCAAGTCTACTCAGAGATGGTTTTCCTTCTGGGTGCGGCCTCTCAGGCTCCCCAGAGCGCGCTCAGAGTGCCCCAAGAGGCCCCCAAGACTGCCCAAGAGGCCCCCGAGACGCCCAAAGAGCGCTCGAAGACGCCGAAGATGACCCCAAGACGGCCCAAAAGGCCCCCAAGACAGCCCAAGAGGCCTCCAAGACGCCCCAAGAGCCTTCCAAGAGGCCTCCGAAGAGAGCCCCAAGAGGCCAAAATCGTTGATTTTCATTGGTTTTTTCTATGTTTTTTGTGTTCTGGCTTTTTCGGCTTCCGGACGCTCCAAGACGGCCCAAGAGGCCCCCAAGACCGCTCCAAGACGGCCCACGAAGCTCCCAAGACGGCGCCGAAACTCAAGACGGCCCAAGTGCCGCCCAAGACGGACCAAGAGGCCCCAAGACGGGCCCAAGAGGGACTCAGGAGGGATACCGAGAACTCAAAAATGGAGCCCTCCGTCCCAGAAGGCGCCCAGGAGGTCCCAAAGAGGCCCCAAGAGGCCTCCAAGAGGCCCCAAGATGTCGCCAAGAGGCCCCAGGAGACTCCCAGGAGGCCCAAAAGAAGCCCCAGAAGGCTTCAAACATGTCTCCCAGGCGCCCCCGAACGGCCTCTCAACAGACCCCAAGAGGCCCCCCAAAGAAGCATCTTGACGACGACTCTATTTCGCCCCATCGAGAGACGACCCCCAGGGAACTGCTTCACCATCAAAACTCCCCACGCAACGCGTCCGAACGACACCCGCCCCCAAGAGCGCAACATGGGCAACGAACACACAGACAAAAACCAGCGATGCCATATCACGGGCCGGCGGAATGAGCGAAGCGATTCAATAAATGAACACAAATAACCGGATTCCCCATACTTTTCCATATTTGGGGGGGGCCTTGCCTTCCCCCCCACTTCCCATTTTTTCCTATATTTTCCTGGGAATTGGCGGTGATTTGTGTCTGTGTGCTTTCTTCCCTCCTGAAACATGTCTCCAAGACGGCCCAAGATGCACCCCTGACGGCACACGATGGGCACAGTATGGACCACGACGGTCCGAGAGGACCCCGAAAAGGCCTCCAAGGGGATTTCCAGGAGGCTGACATCATTGACTTGCCTTGGCTTGTTCAACGAATGTAGCGTTCTCGCAGTTTTGGGCTTCCGACGCTCCGAGACGGCCCCGTAGGCCGCCACGATCGCCCCAAGAGGCCAAGCCACGTTTTCTTCCCTCGGGGATCTTCTGACCCGGGTCACTCCAGACCCGGGTCAGCAGGAAACCAAAGAACTGCAATGCAGGAAAAGAAAACTGCAGCGCAGGTCTTCGCAAACCCGGGTCAGCCAGTATGCGCGACCGCCTCGCGGCCAAGAGCGGCTCGCCAACCCGGGTCAGCCAGAGGGGGTCTTCGCAGGATCCTGCAGGATCCGGTGCCCTGGCTGACTCCCGCTTGCACTGACCCCCATCTCTGAGGCGCCGGCGCCACCAACCGCCACGTCCACCGGCGGCGAAGGCCAGCCGCTGAGGAGCCCAGACCCGTACGAGAGGGCCGCGCACCAGGAGACCGCACGGAGGGAGGAGGAGGAGGATGAGGAGGAGGAGGAGGAGGAGGAGGAAGAGGAGGAGGAGGAGGAGGAGGCTCGGCTTCTCCTCCTCCCCCTCCTCAAGGATGATGATGATGATGATGATGATGATGATGATGATGATGATGATGAGGAGGAGGAGGAGGAGGAGGAGGAGGAGAAGGCCAGCGCGAGGAAGCGGCTCGATTCCTGCGGCCCCGATCCCCTCCTGACATCCGCGAGCCGGGACGCCTCGCCCCCGCTCGCGGACCGCCTGCCCTCCCTCGCTCGTCCCTCCCGTCGTCGTCGTCGTTTTCGTCGTCGTCGTCGTCGTCGTCGTCGTCGTCGTCGTCGTCTTTTTCGTCGTCGTCGTCGTCGTCGTCTTTTTCGTCGTCGTCTTTTTCGGCGTCGTCG